TTTCTATCGCTGCAAAGTATGCAACGTCGAAACCCATGTATATATTTTGCAAAATAGCATAGCAAGATAAATGCGACCCTGTGCTAGTTGTTTTGTTGTTGGAATGACTACATATTTCTCTAATTCCTCTCATCTCGCTCACATCATTTTTTTTTGCTGTCTCTTGTTATTGTATTTGGTACATAATTTCGCTGCTTGCAATGGGGTGCCCTCGCATCGGCGTAGCCAGAATGAAATTTAGGTGGGGGCTCGACCCTATGAAGCTGGCATTTCAGGGTACTATTTTATGTATATAACTATAAGGAAAATTTGAAAGTTAGGGGGGGGGGGCTCGAGCACCCCCCTGCCCCTACCTGGCTACGCCCATGTGCCCTCGTACTCTTCGTTTCGTGCAATCCGTGCATCGTGCAAGACGTCGAGAATACCCCTATTCTGTTATAATTCTACAGATGTTTTTCTTTTGTATGATACCCTTATTGTTATCCTACATTGCAGTGAATTTTTAAGAAATTTTTGGAAATATTCATATTTTTTAAGTGCGCAGTTTTACTAAAATTTACCCATAGTTTCGCAAATATATTAATTTTTTTTTGTGTGTAAAATTTACTGTCGCACGGTGTTAGATATTATTATTCTTGTTTAAGCCATATCAAAAAAATTGTATTTCTCAAAAAGCAAATGAATAAGAATTTTTTTGATTTTTTTTAAGAAATAAGTATGAGAAAAATGTTAAATACTGTTTCGTAAATTACTCGACCAGATCTATGAAAAAACCTGTAACTAAATTATTATTTGGATTACAGTAAAAACAGCCCTTTTTATATCCGATTGCACTGGTGAATTTTGGTATTGGGTAATTCACCGTCACTTGCGCTACATTCGAAGTAAAATTTTAAGATTCAAAGTCTAATTAGTAATTACCAGGGAAAGGATTTTATGGAAATTGCTTTTTTTCTGCTAAAGAGATAGAGTATATTCGGTTAAGAATGTGCACGATTTAGCAGCTTTCCCTGATTCCATATATACACATTTGATGTTGCCCTTTTTAAGAAATTTGCCTTTTTTGCCTTTTCTACCTTTAATTGTAAAGGGCGAGGAAAAAGCCCTTATTCCTGATAATATAAAAGTTTAAATGTTCAAGATTTAAATTAGGCGCCACTTTTATCAACTCACGTCGAGCGCATGTTTAGTACATTCATAGCTTTTCTCCGTGAAAATGTAATCAAAATGCTGCCAGAAAACTCCAAAATGCAGCTTGTGGTTCAATGTTACTACAACTATAGACATTAAAATTTTGTGAGTTAGAAACTCAAAAGGAGAAAATAGTCGAAGATTCAAAGTACAAATTTTTCATATCGAACACTATTTTCGATTTTATCATAAGCGAAAAAAGGCAAATTTTACAGCAGGAGTTTTTTTACTTCATCCTTAAGCGGTGTAATATTTTATTTGGGTTTAAGTGGACAACAGTAGTACTTCATACTTCATACCTTAATATTTAAAAGTTTTATTGGCGCTTGACAAAATAAATTCAACATGAGTTTCAACATTAACTGATTGGTGCATCTAATAGATTGTCCACAAGTGGTTTTTGTAAATGCAGTTTTAAAGCCAGTTCAATTATCAAACGAACAGGAACCGAAATAACGACATTGCCCGCCGCTATTTGTTATTTTTTGACGTTTTTTTTAAGAATTGGAAAAAAATTAAATTTAATCGTTTGATAGAAAAACTTCAGTGCAAAAGTCATGATATTAAGAAGACATCTACGAAATTAATTGTTATATTTCTCGATTTAAAATGTGTTTCATACCTAAAACTGGAAAAATTTGCAAAAGGAAATCTTTTAATCCAGAGATTTAAAGCGAACATTGCAATTTTATAAAAAAGGCTGAACTGCAAAAATTATGATAAGGAAAAGTGGTGAAATCAAAATTTTATAAGGGATTTGAAAGGCGAACAACAAAGTGAAATAATTTCGAAGGCTACATCCACATAGCTGTATCCAAGGATTATCTGTATGGAGGTAAAAAAAATTAAAAATTTGCCTTTTGTTGCTTACGCAAAATAAAGTTCTCTACTCACAGTGTCGTTTACGATAAAATTGCGGGTACGAAAATGTATAAACAAAGCAAACGATAAAATTCACTTTGCTTTTCCTTCGTAACGGCACATATTCAAACGCTATGATTTTTAAGGACGATGTAGCTAGTCTTTATAATCTATTTGCAATCAAAAAAAAAATCGATAAATTGTCGCTTACGATACAGTCGCAAAAAGGGCTCGAAAATAGTTCATAGTTTTTACTTACTTGTAAAATAAAGATTTCTAAAATAAATGTATTTTTTTGTTTATTTTCAATTTTTGTCTTTTTAGTGCCTTCTTTTGCCTTATTTATTTATTATTTTGCGTGCCTTTCCTGCCTATTTCGCTATTTTAATTTGCATTTTCCAGCCTATTTCGTTATTTTATTTTGCCTTTTTTATAGGTTTTATGTCCTAAAAATCCGTTCCCTGACATTACCATTTGCATGTTTCAGCTTACGAAAAAGAGTTTACTGATTCGAATATATGGACGTAATGATATTTTACGAACCATTATCAATCAAACTCTTAGGCGGATTCATCGTTCTAGCTCTGAACTTTTTCTTCCATGTGGTTGTTGTTATATTTCTCTCTTTTTTAATCACGGAGATACTACTTTCAAGTCTAGCTTTGTTAAGAGTAATAATTATAGTATTTTGACATATTTCCAATATGGTTTAATATATTAGTAACAACTTAGCCCTATTACTAACTTAAAAATAATATTTTGGCATTTTCGCTTTCATGCATCTCTTCCATGGAGATGTCCGATTATGATTTAGTTCACATAACGGATGGAAAAAGGTTTGCTTTATTATTCACTTTCTAGCAGGCGTATTGATATACATTCGGACAGACAGACGTCCATGTTTTTTTTTATGTAACAGCATAAAAAATCCTCTACAGAGTCCAAGGGGAATCAGCTGGAGTCACAGTTTTTGGCCAGATATAGTTCTGGGTTGAATTGAGAGCCACGTTAAAATCATATATTAATTAATTAGTTAATCCTTCTGTCTAATTCCGTCAAACGATTTCTGTATTTATCGATAAGTGCCAAGCATAAGTTCCTAAAAAAGATTAAGGCAAACTGTTATGGAAATGAGTTCTTTATGAATAGGTTTTGTACAGGTTAACAGTCCAGCAATTTCCCAGGAAACACAGTTTCTAGCGTTAGAGAAATTTGGATTTCTGCGTTAGATAACTAGGGTAATTCTCTAATCGTGCTCGAGTCGATGACGAGGTTAGAGAACTACATTAGAATTCGATTCGAGAACGATTAGAGAAACAACGCAAATTCAAATAAATGTAAATAAGCAATATTCCAAATTCAATGTTTGCTGGGTTTAGCCCACAATCAGGTTTTATGTACATAATTTAAATATCGATACACATTTAACTTACGAAGTATTGTTTTTCTTTTAAGTTATAAAGCAAGGGTCCAATGTCGTGACATTACATACAATAAACTTGTGACCTATGTAATTGTGTCGAGTTTTCCAGCTCCATTGTTGTAATAATAAAGAAAACAATATTATGCATACATCTCAATCACTCAAAACTAGATTAAATCATGTAAGGCTCTCAATTTAAAAAGTAAGTTTTACAGGGTGACCCATTTGAACTATAGACGACTTAAATCTCTTAAAATTTCTGAGCCGACGGCAACGGCTAATTATTTCATGCTTAAGAAGCGAATAAAACATTACTGCGAATATCTGCCTGTTGCCTTTTAACTAACTCTCATCTCCAAGTGGCTTTTAGCAATTGATGTGGGAGCTCGGAATAGATCGGATAGAATAAACATTTCGAATCTATACCTGCACTGAAAATCCAAAAGAGAAATCAAAATAAAACCTATTTAAGATCCACGGGTGTACGCTTATGGCAACGGGCCCAAATATAGGCACTCTTTTTGCGAAAATCACTGACTATCTCACCGATCTTTCCAATTTCTTTACTGCCATAAACCTCAACATCACAGCTGCAAAATTCATCGCCACACTTCATAACCTGAACTAGGGAAATCAGGCCCGGTCGGTGGCAAATTACGCAGAGACAGTGTGAGCGGGAGGAACGAGAGACAGGCAGTGGAGAAATTTAAAAACTTTTAAGAACTCAGCTCTACGTGCGTCTGGAGGTTGCCACCTCATGTTGTCCGAGCATCACCCCACAAAGAAAGCCATATGCTGGCATGAAAGAGCACCATGATATCGAAGCAATTAATCGACGGTTGGCATCGGGGAAACCACACAAACAATGCTTTGCTTCGGAACGATCCGCCTCCACGATACGTGAGACGGCAGCTGCATGACAGCCCCCAACACCTCTTGGCATAAACCAATTCGATGGCCCTGTTACCGTTTCCTCAGCCTCAGCGTTGCAAAATCAGAGGTTGAGGATTACTCATAACGAAACCCGGGGGGTCGAATACTGCTGCCACAACAACATTTAAAGCTCCTGTAGAAATGCTTCCGAAATGATGGAATGTTGTTAAATCAAAGTTTGTGTTTTTTTTAATCATCGTTACATTTAGTAGTTGGAAAAAGTTTTGAAAAATGTGCGGAAATCGAGAATAATCAAACATATTTTATAGTGTTTGTCAGTTAAAGAAATATATTGCGCCATTAAATACATGTAATATTTGAGAGACCCACACGTCGTAGAAAAACCAAGGCAATCGAAAGAGATGCCGATGACATTCATTGAGCGGGGGATTTTCAGGGCGAGATTTTTATTGAAGTCAATTGCTGGCGTAGTCAAATAAGCCCTTGTTCACTTGTTCTTTTGCTTCATTCAAATTCTATTCTGTAAATAGCAAAGTTGCGGTTCAAAAGGGTCACCCTGTAGATAAATGCATATGAATATTTTTTCGTTTTATGGTAAAGGTTTTAAAATTTGATATGCCTTTTTTTGCAGGATAAACCGACACCGAAACCAACACCTGCAGCCGTTACAAATATATTCAGACCTCCAAAAACGACTCTAACCGAAGAACAAGTTATAATACTAGCTGCAGTTTACAAGGGATTTCCAAGTCTTTGGGATGAAACAGACATAACGTACAGATTCAGTAATAGACGTAGAGATGCAACAAACTCTATACACGTAGAATTTAATAAAAGAACCGGTCTAAATCTAACGCAAGAGGATGTAGCAAGTGAGATATCTAAAATTCGAAAAATATGTTCATATGAAAAGAAACAACAAATTATATGCAAACGACAAAATAAGCCCTACCAACCAATATGCAAATATTTTGAACACATTGCATACCTTGAAGCCGATGTTAAACCCTATGAATGCCCAGTGTGTGGACTATTATTGGCTGGGTCAGTACAACACAAGATCCATGTAGCAGCTCATGATGGTTCACAACCTTTTAAATGCCATGTCTGTGAACATGGTTTCAATCTCCTGACCAATTTAACTGTGCATTTACGAAGACATGCTCAAGACTACATGTATACTTGTGAAGTGTGCAACAAGCAACTTGCAACAACTACAGATTTAAAGTCCCATATGCGCTACCATACCGGTGAAAAACCTTTTGTTTGTGATATTTGTGGCAAAGACTATCGCTCCATGTCTCATTTAAAAACGCATAGGGATCTTCACGACAAAAAACTCCTTTACCAGTGCGAAGTTTGTTCAAAGGCATTCTTTAGAAAAGCGTTGGTTAAAGAACATATGAATAATGTTCACATAAAAAATCGGGACAAGATATGCAAAATATGTAACAAAGGATTTACCAGTTCTAAGCATCTACGCCAACACATTCAGATCCACGCCGAAGAAAAAAAATATTCATGTAAAATTTGTGGTAAACGTTTTGCACAATATGCTGGGCTTAGTGGACATGTTAAGTCACATGGTACAACATTACCGGAGATAAGTTCCAAAAGCGTTACCACGGCAGCCGAGGATTCTACGTAACCGAAATGTTCTAGACTTGTCTCTGGGATAGAATTGTCACCCCAGCAGCATTCCTGAAAACTCTTGAGGAAATTTTTAGGCTGTTAGGCTGCAACAACAGCGTTAATTTAGTTAAAGAATTGGTTAATGTAAATAAATGCTTGTTTGTATACATTTATTTTCTATTAAAAGTGAATAAATTCTAAGTGAAAAAACGTCCATTAATTTTTAAATATAGGCTGAGTTCCAAGTTGGTATATTGCAAAGCATCAGCCCCTTTTATTTCTAAACTATAATTGATGGAAATTACTAATTTGCGCAACTAAGCTTCAATTCGGCATTTGGACATTTCCATCAGTTATAGTTTAAAAATAAAAGAGGCCGATGCTTTGCAATATACCAACTTGAAACTCAATCATATTTTTGGTTTGATTAGGAACCTCATTTCACTTACATATATTTTGTCAACATAGTACATATTTAGGGTACTCACAGTTCTATATTATCTACTGTGTTAATTTTGCCACCTGGTAACTTTAAAACATTTTACCATGTGGTAACTTTGTTTGTTGTTGGTTCCCATACTAATTAGAGATAACACTTTTGGGCAAAATTACTAGACTTTGTCTCATGTTTATGTTCTGTGTTAAACTGGCATCTATCGCTGCTTGTACATACATACATGAATTTCGCTTTGGGCGCAGCGCTGCTTGTACATAAGTTTCTCTTTGCGCCTGCCTGGAGCTGGCAAAGGTTACTTTTATTTTTATTTTTGCGCTGTGCTAGCTGAGTATAAAAAAGAGAAGAGAGAATAGAGAGAAATATGTATGTGGTTTGTTGATGCTCTCTAAACACAAACGCGTGAAAGGCAAACGGTCTAGCAATGCGTGGTATTGTTGATCAACTTAATACTTTATTTAAACATAAGGGTTGCTCACAGTTCGAGTGTGTTATCTTGTTAAAGTTGCCACCTTTTAACTTTAGAAGTAAACTGTGAATACCCTAATTATCTTTCCAAGAACAAATTAAGCAATGCCAATTAAATCGTGCCCTACGGATGCGCTTAATGTAATCCTGTATCAAATGAAAATAGAATTCTACATACGGGAAATTCCAGGTAACTCCGAAATCCGATTCAAAGAGTCAGGCTATTGGAGATCGAAGCAACACGGCCATATTGATATTCTTGACAAGCTCTGATAAGTAATCAGACTTCATACTTCCTGGGGTTGTTTTCAAAAAAACTTCCTGGTGTAATTTCCTTCTAGACAGAATTGGAATAGTACCAAAGTTGTCGAGGGGAATTCTAATGGTATCTGTATTCACGGGTACAAAATGGACTCCGGTGTTGGTTTGGTGGTATGGTAGGACTGAGAAATCGATTAGGGCGGAAAGGAGCCTTTCTTGACAAATCCAAAAACAATAAAACCTACAAAACTGCAAAGAATATTTGGGCGTACTGTGACAAATCAAAAATGTAAGACATCTTAAAGCCGAGGCAAAGCAGTGTACGGTGGATTTTAGAAAATAAGATCTTTTTCAGATGCTAGGTACTTCATTGTTGTAAGTCTGAGCGTAAAGTAAAAAAAAAAATATGTTTTTACGAATCGTAGGCCACATTTATAGCTGGCCTAAACCATAGAACGTAAATCTATAACATGAGACAACATGTTATAATTGTAGCGAGTGTGAACATCAGGAGCGTGCCTTCTCTTTTCATCCTATCATAAAACGTATTTGGGCAAAAGAGAAAGCACGCTCCTTATGTTCCCACTCGTTACAATTATAACGTGTTGTCTCTTATAAATTCACGTTCTCTGCCTAAACGCTTTAGGGAATTTTAATGCGGCTACAACAACAACAATATCTTTGAGCAGGCTGGGTTGATCTGGCTACGGGCACAAACGATCTCCAGATCGGGAAATGGTGTAGAATAGGTATGTACATTAGGGTGGTCCAAAAATGCATGTGAAAATGTAAAGTCGGAATTTTTATGCTCTCACCCCGAAAAAAATATATCTCAATTTTTTATTTTGAAATCAAAAAATATTTAGAGGTCGGTCAAAGCGCCCAAAGTTTTCCATGTATTTTATATGGGGAAAACAACTTTTCTTAGAAATGGTATAGCATTTTTAAGAATCGATATTTTTCTATTGGAAAACTCTGTTTATCTACAGGAGATTCCCAATAATAATACCCAATTGTTTATTTAACCACCGACTATACCTCATTGCACTGCTGTCACTCAATTATAATTTCGAAGTGTAAATACATAATACTCTTAATTAAATTCAATTATACTCATTTTGGTGTTTACTAAATCATATTTTAACATACAGATGCGTGCAACTAATTAGCAACGAAATTCAAAACGATATTGCTTGCAAATTATGTTTATTTATTTATTTTTAATAATTTTCATTTAAAATATAATTCAATCTATAACAGAAACCACAATAACAAAAGTTGCAAAGCTTGCACAAATTGCAAAAAAATTAATAAAACTTAAAAAAATCGTCATCAAAATTTCAAAATTTTTAATTAGAATATATAGAAAATGTTGGGGTATGCAGTTTTGTAGCCCATTCAATTTTAGTATAATAAAGTGGAAGTTTCAAGTCGCTAAAAATTACCGTTGATTTTTTAGAATTTTTTTTTGGCGAGGGTGTTGCGGATTTTTTTCCATGTAAAAAAAAATTTTGACCATGTGTTATATGGAAGAAAATCCGCAACCCCCTCCACAAAAAAAAAAATCTAAAAAATCAACGGTCAGCAAGAATTTGCAATCACGTAAAACATAAGATTGTTGCATTTCAGTTAACTCCAATGATTTGAAAGGAGGTACTCGGCTGAAAAAAAATAGTGTTCATAATCGGAACCGGAGTCGATCTAGGAAATTCGACAGTGACTACGACAAAGAAATTGAAACGTATGTTAAAGAAAGTCGAAATAACAAGAAATATACTGAAGATCCTGTTTTTTTGTCCATCTGAAAGAATTTTAAAAATTCTATAAAAACTTATTACGTTTGAAATGCAACTGGGAAACCCTACTGGCGGGCAAACTTGCGTTCGTTCAGAATCTTGCAAGTTTCCATACTTGAGAGAATTATTTCTTACTCTGATATTTTGAATCATGGATAATTCTTGCTGGAATTTCGATGAACAAACTTATTTGCTTCGCATGGTCAAAGCGCTGAGTGATGTTTAGTGATTTAAACCGATCCATGACATGGGCTTGAAGAAACGGAGCACGACGTATTCGAGCAGGTAAATGAATAAATAACCTTTGGCCTGATTCCTTTTCACACAGTCATCACACGCCGGCAGCGTCTTAAAATCCAGCAATTCCTTCCACTTCTTGTTTGTTTGTACATGACTTCTGTAAATAATGTCATTTTTGGTTTTCCCATGTTAGCGATTAGAAAGTTTTTAAAAGAAAAAGTATTTTTTGAACAAACTTAAACATAAGTTTGTTTTATCGATCACAGAGTGGTGTTGTCTAAAAATAATCATGAAGAATCAGTTCGGCTCAATAATAAAATTTCAAACAACGCCACTCTATAACTTGCAAAAAGTTTATTTGACCGATCACAGAATAGTGTTGTCTAGAAATTTTTATAGAGAATGAGCTCAGCTCAATAAAAAATTTCGCAACAACGTCACTCTGTAAGAACGTAAACAAATTTTTACAAATGTACCAATCGCCTGATTTGGCTTTGACTCAAAATACACTTACATGTTATGACTAGGGATGCAACATCGCTCTTAAAAACATCGATGTTTGAAAACATATATATCTAACGTATTTATGGGCCAATTTGTCTGTTTTTTTTTTTTAATATATACCGGTTACGTAAGCAGAAAAATTTCTGCGAAATATGGTCTTGCTAGGTGGCGCCAGGGTCGAGATATTTTTAAAAACCGTACACTGAACCAAAAATCCATCTCCGGATCAAAGAAAAACTTTCCTTACTTTAGGTCGAAAATTCTTCCGAATGAGTAAAAAATTCTCCCGAATGCGTAATTTTTCTTTGGAATGTGTAAAAACGTACACGAAAATATGGAACCGTGGATGTAATCTATCATTTTGAAGAAATGTTGGGCATGAAAAGAGGATAAAACTTCTTTAGTGCTGTTTCGTTCCCATTTTTCTTCACTTTGACTGCTGTTTTTCTTCAATTAAGAGAAGTTTTTTTTGGGTGTATTTATGGTCTGATTTGGTTCGAATTTGGCGTATGTGTTGTAAGATAATAAATCATAGATTTCCAAGAAATTTACCCTGAATTGCCGCTGAGTAAAAAATATAAAATTTTTTCGACATAAAATTCATGTTTTGTTTGCTTTAAAAATTCATTCAAAAACAATATTACCAAAAATATAACTATTGCAATTTATGTCACATCACGCCATGTCACGTAACGTAAAAGAAAATTGAAACAAGTTGCATTGATTCAAAAAACTGTAAAAACAACTGAAACGAAGCCGAAGATAAAGATGAAGACGAAGCCGAAGACGAATTGTTTGCGTTGCGGCCCAGCTGGCGAGTGTACATAGTGGAAGATTAATGATGTGAAGATTTGTTTCTAAATAAAACGGTCCATGCTCTTTCTTATAAGAGGAGTCTGAGGGGCCATGCCCCTCCCTCTCCGCCCCAACACCCCAAAATCGTTCTAAAAATAACTAAATCATAATTATTATTAACGCTGTGGTGTAGTGCGGCCGCAGTGCGTATAGAAAAAAGTTTTCTTAATACCGAAAATTCGAATCTAAACCCGTGTTATTTGTGTGGGAAATCGCATTTTTGAAAGAGCTAAGCCTGTGATGCCCTTTAAATTTCAGATTATCAGATTTCGGGTAGCACAGGTGGAAAAAATATTGCCTAAAAATTAAACACCCTAATACTCATGTAGCACACTGGTGTATAACTTGGTGTAAATTTACGATTTTTGGTATAAATCTGATTAATTGTATCAAAATTCACAAATTTGCACCAATTGAGTATGTATACATTAGACGGCATCGCCAAAAAAAGTTGCGGTTTTTCCACCAAAATATTTCGGAAAAATATTAAGATTTACGTGAGCTGGACCGATTGCAAAATACCTCCAAAAATAGAGTTTTTATGAATAAAAATAGTTTCTTAACGGATTTTTTGGAAAAAATCCCTTCGGATGACAAAACAGTTTAAGCTTTAAAAATCTACATAAAAATATTCAAACATTTTTTTCAACGGAATCATAAAAATATATATTTAAACTTTTTTCAAAGATTTGTTTAAGAAAATCTTGAATGCCTGGGTCAGAACTATATCGATATAGACTTGTGAGGTATCCGTGGAAAGGTATTTTCTTACTTTTTTATTTCTTTGCAAAAAAACTCATTCACGTCCCAATTGTTTCTTTATCAAATTTCAACACATCTTAATTCAACATTGAATGAGGCTCGTTTGTCTTACCTTTCTGTTTCATGCTTTGAATGAGCTTATTTGCAAAGAACTAAAAAGGGCGAGAAAATTCCTTTCCAATGATACCTCATTAGTCTGAATCGGTAAAGTTTAGGCTGAGTTGTTTAAGTTTTTTTTTAAACCAGTCTTTGAAAAAATCTCGTTTTGTGATTCCGTTGGAAATTAAAAAAAAAATACTATTCTTATGCAAATTTTTTAAGCTTAAACTGTTCTGTCATCTAATGTGATTTTTTGCAAAAAATACTTAAAAGAACTGTTTTTATTCACAAAAAACTAAATTTTTGGAGGCATTATCGAATCGGTCCAGCTCAAGTAAATTTTAATATATTTCCGAAATATTTCGGTGAAAGTCTTAAAATATAAAAAACTGTTTTGCCATCTAAGGTGATTTTTTCCAAAAAAATAATTAAAAAAAGTAGTTTTTATTCACAATTACAAACTATAGTTTTGTTCTATTTCCATAGAAATTAAAAGTTTTCATTGAGGAACTTTTTATTTAACTATTGATATGGTATTTAAGAAGGTTTCTTTCAACCAAAATCGAAAGTGGTGAAAGACAGGCAACAACGAAATTTCATCATTTGAAAAACTCAACTGGATTTATTATAGACAAATACAGCGACTCAAAAAACCCCTTGGTGATTTTTCTTATATCCACAATGTTGTTGTGTATACCCGAGCGCACTTGTGCACAAGGGTATTATAACTTTGTTCACATAACGGTTGTTTGTAACAGGCAAAACGAATCGAGATAGATATAGACAAATGTATACATAAATGATCAGAATGAAAAGAGAAATCGATTAAGCGGTGACTGTCTGTCCGTC